AAAAAAGTTGAAGTAAATAGTCAACTTTACTTTACTTTTGTCTTCATTGTGAAATCTACACCATCCACTGAGTGTTGAAGCAATTTTCTAAAATGTGCGCTGAGGGCTTGTGAGTAGTAGACCAGAGCGAACTTTTACGAAGCAACAGTGGAGCATTGCTTTTCTGTAGTTGAATGGAACTGTGGCAAAATTAACATTAACAAATCAAAACAAATTATATATAAATTAATAATTTGACTAGTGCAAACTTCACGATAATGTTTAAAGCCGATTAATAAGTCCGCTTTATAACAAAAAAATTACATTATCGTTCTTAAGAAATTTTATTTGCCTCCACCTGGTTGAGTTGAAATTCTTGGACCCTGCAAAGACTTGATGAGTCAAGCTCTAAGTGCTTTTGTGTAAAGAGAACAGCATAACGTAAATTATCTACTGCATATATACAGGGCTTTTCAACCTGAGAGTCGCAAGTTTCGCTTGCGCGGCTCCTCCAACGCGGCCGCCTCGCTCAGGCCGCGCGCGGCGTTTGCTGCGTACCTCCCGGATTTCGCCAAGCTTCAGTGGACGCGCAGCCAGCGCCACGAACGCTGCGCGGACCTAAGCGTGGCGTCCTAGCGGGGCGGGTGGGACACTCAGGTTGTAAAGCCCTGTATCTACTGCATGAAATCAGGGCACAGCAGTGACGGACCGAGGGGGAGGGAGCGGTGCCCCTACCCTCGAGAAAATGGATTACGAAATTTCTAAAATTTACTTAAAGGGGTTATAAAAAATTCTTCTAAATGATCAAATTATCAAAATTTCAAAAAACAAATTAGCTTTGTAAAGAAAAACTTTTCTTAAAAATTTTTAAAGAAACAGCCCCAAAAAGTTCTTCGAAATATGTGGCTACCGCCGCGCACCACTTGAAAAATACTTTGCCCCCCCCCCTCCCTTCTCCCGGACGGGAATCCTGGGACCGCCACTGAAGTACTATGTAGGAACCAGTGTAATTCATTATTTGATGTTCCTACTTTTTTGAATGCTGCAAGGAACAATGATTTGTGAGAAGATGACTTGAACAAAAGTGAAAAATATATGGAGGATAGAGGCTTTACTACTAAAAGTTCAGCATCCTCTACTGTTTCTAGTTCGAAACAATTTTGCACTATTCTCAATCAAAGGCGAAAATTTTTGACTTCAAGCTGAAACTTACACATGTTCAAGAAGACAAACAACAGTAATATTCTCTTGACAGATTGCATGCCCACATCCAGCTGCAGCCGATATGAGTAGTTTCTGGAAGTGTTTGCGAATAAGCTGAGAATAAGTCGTCAGGCCAAGTGCAAGTAGTGTTGGCCTCGGACAGATTTCACGCGATTTCATCGTTGCGATTTGCGACAAGACGACTGTAATGATACTATTGCATGCCGGTCTTTTTGTATTTAGTTATGATATTCCAGCAGACTAATCATGACTGACTATCACAACCGAAATACAAGAAGATTGGCATGAGATGAATTCAGTACTCTGCGTTGATACCACTGCTTTCGTGCTGATGCGATCCGGGAGCCTCAGTTACGCCCCCCCCCTTGAGGGTACCCATCCGTACGACCTCCCCCCTTTCCCCTACCCCCCCCCCCCCTCCCACCCCCCACCCTCCCACCTCACCTAGTACTCTGCGTTGATACCACTGCTT